ATGGTTCCGGGAATCCCAATTTGTGAGCGATGCAGCCTGACGTATATCCGGAAAGGATGAGCGCCACACATTCCGTCCGTCCTGTGATCTGCCCGTTTGGGGTACGCCACGCCTCCATTGTATACGCAGAACGGAGTGATCACTAGATGCAATTGGTGGAAGGAGGTCAATCCTAGTCGTATCTGATTGCCTCGGCGAAAATACCAGATCAAGGATGGATCTTTGATCCCCAACTATCCGCGTAGGCACATGAACATGCTGAACAAGTAACAGGGCCCTGAAAGCGAAAAGAAGTTCTCTGGAGAACAAATCTGCATGCTGAGAGCAGATGTCAGTTTCCCAATCAAAATGGGGCGCGTTCAAATCACCCAAGACTAGAAAATGTCCATCACAGGCGTACTTCTGTATGCTGGCCATCAGCTCTGGGACGTGCATAGCTGGTGTGCGGTAAATCACTCCAACTGTGTTATACCCTCCGGCACAAAGCTTGATTCCGCACCACAGGGCTTCTCAAAATCCTCCCGGATGGGCGTAATTCTCCAGAACTCGAACAGGGAGACCCGAGCGGACAAAAAGAACAATTCCACCACTGCGACGTGACGATGATTGATCCGTTCGAAACACTGTGTATCCGTGGATTGATATTTCGGAGCCTCGGATATCCGGGGTCAGCCAGGTCTCAGTGATTGCACAAAAATCAGGCGAGCCTGGGCAGTGGTGGCCTCGGTCTCCAGAAGATTGACAACAATAAGGCATTGAGATCTCGGAGGGAGCTTCCTCTGCTGCATAGGTTCCTGCGAATCGCGGGGCACCTCTCAGCTGTCCGTGATATGTTACACGCACCGTGCCTGGATGTCGTGGACGAAGGAGTCAAGTCTGTCCGTGAGGGAGATGCAGCGGACGATATCCCTGCCCTTTTTTCGGGTACTTCTGCTGTGGTGCAGCTGCAGGAGCTGCTTTTCTAAGTGGAACGGAAATGATATCTGCATACAAAGGGGCAACTTTCACAAAAGTGGCCGGCGTTATGGGGGTTAGAGAATTTGTTGGCAGTGGCGAGCTGGCAGGCAGAGCTGTTATCTTTGAAGAAGCAGATAAGGGAGGCCACTGGGTATGTGTGGGTTCCGAGGTAGCAGGTGCTTCAACTATTGCTTTTGTCGTCGCGCTCATTTCAGCCGTGTGTGTCCCTTGCCGTGGGGTGACCACTTGTGTCGGGCATTTTGGTCGCTTG